CAGTATATGAAGTTTGTATAAAAATATCTTGAATGGTATGTTTAAAACTGAGCTAAATACTAATTAAAGAAAGGTGAGGTCACGGTCAAGGGAAGGTCAAGGTCAAAATGGTGATGTAGTTGAATAGCTCTCATCAGTATGTATCAACATGTGAAGTTTGATAACACCATCTAGAACTGTATGTTTAAAACTGAGTTAAACACTAATTTAAGAAAAGTAAAGTCAAGGTCAAAGGAAAGGTCAAGGTCAAAAAATGTTGATGCAGTTGCATAGCTCTCTATATCTATCAGCATATGAAGTTTGATGAAAATATCTTGGATAGTTTCTTTGAAATGGAGCTTTGAAAAGAGCTACACGCAAAGTGTGACGGAAGGACGGAAGACGGACATGACAAACACTATATGCCACGGTCATATTCATGGGCATAAAAAATAATGGGTCATATGTCAAACTCTAAGCTAAGGTTAAAAAAAATATTCATACTCAAGGAAAGATCTTGATACAAAAAATATACCCCGAATCCTCGATTACGGGGACATAAAAAGAACCTTGACCATCTCTTTTGAAGGCTTGAGAGCTAGGGCTATTGGATTTCACAGATGTATTTCTGGTGACCGTCTCTTGGGGTACCGCTACATGTATTTTGAACTTTTGACATTGACCATGGAGATTGTCCTACATTTAAAAACTTTAACCTTGGTCACATCCTTTGAAAAACTGGCGCTATGGACTTAAATTACACTCCACTTGTGTATTTCTTGTGACAAGACCTTTCACTGGGCAGCATTAAATGTGACCTTGGAAGTTGACATCTCTCTATTCGCAACTCCTCCTATACCACCTGATGAAATTTAATGATACTTTCACAGATTCTTTAGTACATATTGCCACTTTGCACCTCCAATTTTACTTTCTGATCTTACACCTTTTCTCGTCTCCCAGAGCAAAACATGGACTTAGCCATTATAATCATATCGGAGGCAGGGGTATCATTTGGTGAGCTCACTGCTCACAGTACCTCTAGTTGATTTGGGTGACCTAAAAAACACAAAATACATAAAATACACCATCATAAAACCAAGCAGCTATGGTTAATATGTTATGGAGGTGTGGGGGGGGGGGGTCAACAAATTAACCATCAGATATAACTTAATTTTGAAATAATATATCTTAAACTGTCAACTGTCATTTGGAAAAGAAAAATTTCATACATTTTAGATTTAAAATTTGATCACTTATGTATTAATATCTTTCGATAGAGCTCTTTTTCTAAAAATGGCTACAACCACCCAACCCTCTTAAATGGTTAAAAGCGTTGCCAAGTAAACAATTGATATTTTGATTTATACAATTAGATGAAGAGACGTTCTCTATTTTTTTTTCCCGCTATTTGCTTAAAGATTATATGATGACGCACATATTTAGATATTTTTATACCATCATTTTTTTTTCAACAGTTTCTGCTGGAGATTTTTGCGACTTTATCAAGATCAGAAAATGAGCATTGTGTCCATTTTGTAGCCTACCGTCTCAGTTAAGTCTTTCTAGACTGTATAGAAAATATTTTCATTTTTGTGGTGTTCTGATATTTAAACGGACTCGATTTTAGATTTAATATCTTACGTACGTTTTCGTACCTATGTCCGGTTTTTTGCCTTTAAGCCTATCATACAGTGCATGATTACATATGGGCATATCCTACCGAGCATGTTTTTAAAATTAGTGAACTTTAGCAGAACTTTATATAACTCCTTATATCGCAGTTATAATTAATCATCACATCAAATTAAGATGAAAATCTGATGCATATAATACATCACTCTATCAATGTTATCCGACCATTACCATACGCTAGATATAATCACGTGATATTTGACGGACACACCTGTTTCTAGATTTGAACATCAACTGGCATTTCAACTGGACAACAAACGCCCTAAATGAAAATTAAATGCTATAGGCAGTAGACTGCAAATCAGTCCGAGGTCTTTTGTTCATCATATACGAATCTTGAAGACTTGGTCAGTTTTCTGTGATCGCCTGTTCCATCTTGTTCCAGATGATGGACGTTGACAGATAGCTAGGTCATGTATAACAGTTATTCAACGTTGATACGTCATCCAGTGTGATCATATAAATAGTGACTGCACTGTACTTGTCCATATATAAAGCCTTCTTTGAATAATACTGAGGAGGTGATTACTAGTGTATTAGTTGCAAAATAACTATATCTAGCTATACAGTCTTTAAATAGAGAATAATACATACCCTTTTCCATATCACATCTGTATTTAGCCCACACACCAATATCAGCCAGAGGGCTGATATTGGTCGAGGGCTGATACAGGATGTGATGTGGAAAAGGGTATGTTTTATTATATTTATTACATACTTAGTGATAAAATACAGTTGAGAAGAAAATAAGTAAATAATCATGCATGGACTTCTTACATACATGTACGATTTGGGTTTGTTTCTATTTCTATTTCAATGCACTTGATCCGTAATTTGAAAATATTCTATTAGTATTACATGTATTTGTAAATTAAGATTAACCTTATTTTCAAAAAGTTAAAATTAAGAGAATATGAACCCACCAAAAATTGTGTATGAGTACAAGTACTGTTATTGTGGTTTAATTTACTAAGGGTGTGATATTGACGTCACAATTGACGTATCAGCCCAGCAGGGCTGATTTTGATTTGCAGGGCTGATACGGATATCAGCCCCGCAAATCCATATCAGCCCTGCAGGGTTGATACGGCTATTGTGACGTCAGCCATATCGCATATGCAAAAACCCTGTATTTATTACTAAGTGTGTAATAAATACTGGTTTTGAGTGTTTGTTTTCCTTTTTTTTAATAATTGCATCTTAAAATGATTTATGAATATGAAATGAAATACTAACAAATTTTGAATAATGTTCCTTTTAGCAACCCATTCATTAGTTGCAAGATGAAATTCAAGAATGCATAAAAACGTCTAATATGTCATTGAAAACAAATTGATCAAGTTTGCATGTCGAATTATTTCATGTATAGGGTTTTACAGATAATTTTATTATAAAATGAAATATCCCTCCTTGTTAATCAATATTATTAATTGAAAATTTTAAAATTTAAGTCCTTTGTATGGCAAGCCGTTTTACTATTTATTCGGAAAATGAATTTTATCTTAAAATTACAGAGATATCTCTCATTTTAGAGAGATATCTCTTAAAAAATAGAGATATCTCTCAACTTAAAGAGATATCTCTTATTTTTAAGAGATATCTCATAAAAATAAAAGAGATATCTCTTAAAGTTACAGAGATATCTCTTATACTTAGAGAGATATCCCTTAAACTTAGAGAGATATCTCTTTTTCCTTGAGAGATATCTCTTTCATGAAAAGAGATATCTCTGAACGTTAAAGAGATATCTCTTTCAACTAGAGAGATATCTCTTTCACATAGAGAGATATCTTTCCAAGTAAAAGAGATATCTCTTAAAGTTAAAGAGATATCTCTCTAAGTTTATCTGTAGAGATATCTCTCAAAGTGAAAGAGATATCTTTCAAAAGGGTCTAAAAGAGATATCTCTCAAGCCAAAAGAGATATCTCTTTATTATAAAAGATACCCCCTTCCATTATTTTTATTTAAATTCCATTTGAAATGTCTTCTCCCTTTACCGGAAGTAAGTTTTTCATTCACGGAAGTACATTAAAAGTATTTTTAGATTTCGACATATTCATGATATTCTAAGTTGCCATTATCATTTGTTGTTTCAAAGAAGGAATTTATTGCATTTTTGTCTACAAAGTAATTAGTTCATATATATTATTCTGGGTACTGCATCTTGATCAGTCTTTTTTCTTGGCTATAACAGCGAAACTATTTCAGAGATTTTACTTCCTGTTTCGCTTTCGTTTTAAAGGGGAGAATTAATTATTTTATTTTAATGATGACTGGAAAAGAGATATATCTTTCATTGAAAGAGATATCTCTTTAGCTTAAAAAGATATCTTTTTTTTGAAAATCTAAAGAGATATCTCTCCAACTACAAAAGATATCTCTTTTAACCGTGTTAAAAAGATATCTCTCTGACTTAAAGAGATATCTCTCTCGCTTAAAGAGATATCTCTGTAAGTAAAAGAGATATCTCTCTTACAAAAAGAGATATCTCTTTTATTTAAAGAGATATCTCTCTAAGGTATAAAGATATCTCAATTAGTCAGAGATATCTTTATAAGCTAATGAGATATCTCTCTATGCTGAGAGAGATATCTCTCTATTGAAAGAAAATTTTTATTTCATGAATAAATAATAAAAGGGCTTGCCATACCTTTGCCAGAAAATGCATTTCAATAATTTCTAGATACTCTGGTATTTCATTTTTATGAGCTAAAAATGTCTGTAAAATCAAAGAAACTTTAATTTGAAAAGTGAAAACAGTTTGTGATTTATAATGGTTTAATTTTCATGCTGAATGTTTGAAGAGAGTATTTGTAGCCCCGCCATGTTTTCCAGTTGATGCCGTCCGCCATACTGTCATGGTTTCCTTTAAGGTACTGTCCGTTAGGATTTGCAGTATGACAGTTACTATACCAAAAACCTCCCTTGAAAGAGGCAGCACAATTTCCGCTAGCTAAATCATTATCAACATCTTTTGTTGAAAACAACATTCCATTATGGGAAGACAAGGAATCGCCTGAAAATTAAAGGTTTCTTTTTACGATCTGTGTAATATAATTATATACATTTACTTGTATATGCCTATTCTTATAATCAAGACTGAAAACATAGTTACAAGAAATTTTAAACAAAGAGATATCTGCCACTAATATACATGTATTTTAGTACAAACAATGAATAGAATTTACTCTTTTTTTTGGAAATATTTCCATGTTCTCTGACGGATACCGGAGTACTTCAACCAAAATACAGTTCACTCAAATGTATATTAGAACATTTAATGGTTGTACTCAGTTTAAACTGTTATTTAGTGGAATTCTGTAGTTATATCGCACTGATTAAGACCACTATATATCTCTCAAAACCTTATGTATAGCGTATAAAACGACAGCCATATGGCGAGACGAAAAGAACAATTGCTGGTGAAAAATAGAGAGAAAGCAAGACCATGGCAACTAGCTAAATTATTTATGGCAAAGCCAATTACTATAGTATGCTGCATTAATAACGGTTTACGACCCCAATATCCTTTATCATACTCAAACACTTCAAAAGAGCAAACTATTTAGCCAGTTTTCTTTCTTCTTCTTTATTTGATCAAAGAATAAATTGTTTTGTTTAATTTTTGTTTAACGTTCCTTCGAGAATTTCTATTCATACTGAAAAAAACACCACTGTCTTGCTGATGGCGGCCTGTACTCAGCACTTAAAGCCTTTGTGCAGCACGGATTCTTTTTCGTGCCATGATACGGGACCTCACTTTAAAGGTCTCATCCAAAGGATCGGTCTCCACGTCCCGCAGTGGGATTCGAACCGGCAACGTAAGGATCAACTCTTTATTCCGCGACTAAGAAGAAAATGCCCTAACCACTGCGCCTTGCAGACATTAAGATTTGAATTTTTAGGTAAATTTAAGTAAATGTAAATATTTCCATTTCTATTTTTTTTCTTCTCTGTGATAACTCTTTGAGAGTTAGCGGAGTTGAGATCTTGATAATTCTACCGGAATGTAGATTAGGCAGGTCGATAGGTCAGGAGCTAAAGAGGCCTAATATGCATGCAAATCTCGTGCGGCTGCCTTTGTCAGTGGGCGAGGACTATTGAAATTTGCATGGGAGTCCTCTCCCAGATAGCATGACTATGTTGGGCCAACATGTGTTAAAGGTTGTATGGTTGGCGTTGGAGGAACAACGTTGGGCCAAAGTTGGACCAATGTTACCAAGTCAACCTTCTCGATCATGACAGAATTCCTATGTTGGCCCAATGTTGGTCCAACGTAAGCAACTTCCATTCACTTTAGTTTCCAAGGAAGGATGGATCCTGGTGTTGGTCCAACGTTTAATGATGTTTAGAACACACCCTTAAAGAAAAGTGTATTTACAAGTTGGTAGTAGTATGTTGGCCCAACGTTGGCCCATTGTTTGTTATACACCCTTAAAGAATGTGTTTTATAAAGTTGGTAGTAATATGTTGGCCCAGCGTTGGCCCTATTGTTTGTAATATACCCTTAGCGAACGTGTCCCATTAAGTTGGTAGTATTATGTTGGCCCAACGTTGGCCCATTGTTTGTAATACATCCTTAAAGAATGTGTCTTATCAGGTTGGTAGTAATATGTTGGCCCAACGTTGGACCAATGTTTAAAATACACCCTTAAAGAAAAGTGTATATACAAGTTGGTAGTATTATGTTGGCCCAATGTTGGCCCATTGTTAGTTATACGCCCTTAAAGAACGTGTCCTATCAAGTTGGTAGTAAATATGTTGACCCAACGTTGGCCCATTGTTTGTAATACACCATATATGAATGTGTTCCATCAAGTTGGTACTAGTATGTTGGCCAAACGTTAGCCCATTGTTCGTAATACACCCTAAAAGAATGTGTCTTATCAAGTTGGTAGTAAAATGTTGGCCCAACGTTCGCCCATTGTTTGTCATTCACCCTTAAAGAATGTGTTTTATAAAGTTGGTAATAATATGTTGGCCTAACGTTGGCCCATTGTTTGTAATACACCCTTAAAGAACGTGTCTTATCAAGTTGGTAGTATTATGTTGGCCCAACGTTGGCCCATTGTTTGTAATACACCCTTAAAGAATGTGTCTTATCAAGTTGGTAGAGAGTAATATGTTGGCCCAACGTTGGACCAATGTTAGTAATACACCCTTAAAGAAAATGTCTTATCAACTTGGTAGTATTTTGTTGGCCCAATATTGGCACAATATTTGTAATACACCCTTAAAGAAAGTGTCTTATCAAGTTGGTAGTATTATGTTGACCCAATGTTGGCACAATATTTGTAATACACCCTTAAAGAAAATGTCTTATCAAGTTGGTAGTATTATGTTGGCCCAATGTTGGCACAATATTAGTAATACACAAGAGTGTTATTTTGTTTAGGTGTTTTAAAGATGAGATATTTATATTGGGCCAACGTTGGTCCAATTATTATACTGCCAGCTAATTGATGGTGTTAATTTTATAATTAGCTTCTGAGCTTTACGTTTGGACAACATTGGCACATTCTGAAATAATTAAGAAGACTTTCTTTGTCCATGCTTATCATTGGATGCCTGCTTTTGTTTAGATATATTTTCAATATTTTAACTTTGCACTTAAGTGATCACAGCACCAAAGAGTGTTTTATTCTATTTTTTGAATTGTGTTTATGTTTATTTATTTGTAATAATTCCCAGATAGCAGAACATCGTTTGCCAAATCTTACATTATGTTTCTATTCTGTTGGGTTACCTTGATTGGGCCAACGATGGCCCAACATGGAATATTGATAGCTGGTTATGTATAATGGTGCGCTAATGTTGGGCTAACTGTTGACATGATATCATAAAACTATTATCATGAAAATGTTTGTTTGGGGATTGGCATCGGCCCTACGTTGGCCCAATATACCATGAATCTGACTGAGCATCATGGGTAGACAACAACCGGGCTACTTGTAATATCCGCGCCATTTTTTATCTGACACGAGCGAGCGTAATGAGACTGATACCTTGCATATATCTGCAACCACTTTGTAAGTATTTATAATATGTTTGCCTCGGCACAGCTGAATTAACGTTTAGTTTTTAAACGATATTATGTACAAATCTGTGTAAATCAGACACGGGGAAGTGCAGAGGCCAGGTGCTGTTGGGTCAACACTGTACCCCAGATAGAATGCTAACATTGGGCCAACGTTGGGCCAATGTAATTGGTTACATCGGGCCAATGTTGGCAAATGACATTGACCCAATTTAAGTTTGCTCATCGGCCCAATGTTAGCCAAATATGTTGGGCCAACGTTGGCCCAATGTAGAGTGTTTTTTCTACAGATATTGGCCCAACGTTGCACCAACATCGGCCCAATGAATGCGACATTGTTGGCGAAACTTCAACAAGAACATTGGGCCGATGTTGGCAAATGACGTTGGTCCAGTGTCATTTTCTTCCTTGGCCCAATGTTGGCCCAATATATTGGACCAACATTGGGCCAATGCGTATAAACATTTAATTGTTACAAATCTGTATATTAACAAATCGGATTGTCTCTTCAATCAGAAATAAATCTACAACCAATCCTACTTGAAAATACAAGCTAGCTAAAATAAATTTAAAATTCTTATAATTTATCAAAACAAAATAAATTATCAGTGATTAAATGTTTTTGTTTCTATACAAGAAAAATAAATGAAAGTATAAAATAACAAACGTGTTTTGATACGGTTTAAACAATGAATAATTTGCCCCTTATTTAGATTGAAATTTGTGTCTAGTAGAATGCATTTCAGAAGTCTACCACTTAATTTACTTATATACACTTAACGTCAAGTACATGATCAAACATTTTGAAAATGTTGAACTTGTTGAAGTTAAAACAAAATTAATTCAGTACTAAACATAAATTGGGTTCTTTCATTTAAAATTTGTTCAGTGTAACGACAAATTTTCAATACATGAATTTTATATGGGGCAACATTGAATCAAAATCGTTGTGATGATGATGATCAAGCGTAGAAATGTTATGCATAAATGCCTTCATCACGCAAGCTTATCACTTAATCACACCATGAAATAAAAAAGACGGTTATTCCTTAATTGACAGCTTAAACATATAGTGATATACTTATAAATTTAATCGTATGTTTACTTTTTACTGAAAAAGTAACAAATGTATTAAGTACCAAATACTACAATTTTAGTGCTACTGGAGATTCTAAAAAGACATTGAGAACACAATCAAAGAATAGCTAAGGTATGCCATGGACAGGGATATGGGGGAGGGAGAAACAGACAGAGAAGAAAAGAAGGGGGAGGAGGAGACTCGGGAGAGAGAAGAGAAGACTTAGGAGAGGGATCAGATGGAAAGTGGCAGTGCCTAACTTTTTTTCTGTAATATAGTGTGACATACCTGTAGTTCTACCCTTTTCTGTGTCTTTTTGTCGGTTACAAACACGATGCAGATGCCAGAAACATTTTTGTGTAAGTAATCAAAATGACGGGATTCATTTTAGTATTATTTTAAGAACATGAGGGTTTGGATTATTTGTTAGACGTGCTTATTGATACTTGTAATTTACTTAACTTTTGCATCAATTTACAGCAGAGAGGGAGTATACAGTCATGTAACCCTACATGTATCGCTTGAAGTGAGCACCAACTTTTAGTTCTTAAATGTTTTCTTCATGCACTGAGCAATAAAATTATAGTATGTTGTAATTTAATTTTATATTTTGATTTCTTTTTCATCAGTTTTTTAATTAATGTAGAGCTACTTACAATGCAATGCTTGTTGATGGCAATTCTATGAGATACTAGTATTGAGAATATGTATTAAACTAATAATCTAGCATATATAGCATATATAGATAGTATTAAAGGACTTTTACCATTAAACTGTACTACAAAACTAGTACAACCTTATTGTATATATTTGTTTGTCAATTTTGAGGACAAATGGCCAGCAATCAAGAGCAAATGAGTTGTCATGATGGAGAGCCAATAAGATACAAACCAACGTTGGCCTAAAATTGATGTTTTCCTAATATTGAAAGAATAAGTGGCCCAACAATGGCTCAATAATATCCGTTCGTTGGTACAACAATAAGCAAACAAGTTGGTCTGATTAAGGGCCGATGAGCAAATTACCGTTGGCCCAACATTAATTGCTAACAATGGCCCAACTGTACAAAAATGGCGTTTGCCCAACATTGAAAAAAATACATTGGCCCAACAGTGGCCTAATATTAACTGTTACATTGGCCCAACAAAAAGCCAACAAGTTGGTTTGTTTAAGGGCCGATGAGCAAATTACCGTTGGCCCAACATTAATTGCTTACAATGGCCCAACTGTACAAAAATGATGTTTGCCCAACATTGAAAAAAATACATTGGCCCAACAGTGGCCTTATATTAACTGATACATTGGCCCAACAAAAAGCCAACAAGTTGGTTTGATTAAGGGCCGATGAGCAAATTACCGTTGGCCCAATATTAATAGCTTACAATGGCCCAATTGTACAAAAATGACGTTTGCCCAATATTGAAATAATACATCGGCCCAACAGTGGCCCAATATTAACTGTTGCATTGGCCTAATAATGAGCCAACAAGTTGGTTTGATTAAGGGCCGATGAGCAAATTACCGATGGCCCAATGTTGAATGCAAACGGTGGCCCAACATAAGGAGCATTGTTGGCCCAACAAAGGTCCAATAACATTCTGCTATCTGGGCTGTAATTAAAATCTATTGGTCTACATTATTAAAATCTGATTTACAATTTAATTTCGCAATGAAATGGAAATATAAGGAATCACTAGTTAGTATACATGTAGTATGCCAGGGACATCAACGATAGTGGGAAACGTGGGATAATTTATGCCACGTTTCTCACTATCCTTGATGCCCTGGCATACTATACTAACTAAACAGTGATTTCTTAAATATATACTGATGTAAACGATGAAAAATTGGACAGGGATATGGAAAATGGAACTTGAAGGGGAAGACATATTGGAAAAAAGGACTTTGGTAGTTGTGTGCGTGGGTGGGGGCCAGGGACGCGTACCCCAATGTCCATTTCACATACCTGCTGTACCAGAATATCCTCCAATGGTCAATCTGAATTTTGTTTCCCGGTTTCCAACGACAAAAACTTTATACTTGGCAAATCTGCTTTCTCCATCAAAATCGGTCATGTCGACACGTAATTCATATAAAGCCTGGCTTGTCAGCAGATGTAAAAACTCATTGCCTTCAATAAAACGTTTTTATTGACAATAGATCGGTAAAATAATTACTTTATTTAATTTTTTTGGTGAAACCCTTTAAATAGCATAAGAAAACAAAATTCTAACCAATCCAAAGTGTCGTTGGTTTCATCGCTGAAACCAAACTGATAGTCTGCCCACTCTCTGAAGAAATCAAGACTCCCGTCTAATCTTTTCTGTACAACCTGTGAATTTAAATAATTGGAATCTGATGGATACAGAAGAGGAAAACATCTGCTATATATACATGTACACTTTGTAACTAACTACATGTACATGTACATAGTTCTTTGTTTCACAGCGAAACAAAGTAGTACTCACCAGCCATCCACCTTCATCAACTTCCATGTCACACAACACATCGATCCCCCTTCGGAGGCCCCCCGCACAGACCCTGTACACCCCGGATGTAGAGTTTGGTTTCTGAGTCAGGATATCAAAGCAGTCTCGAGGTAATCTATTCCCTTAAAATAGAAGTACCAAAAAGAATTTTTTGTCCTCCGCTTTCATTCAGATGAAGAGGATATTCATTTTGGTTTGTCTATCAGTCTGACTGTTTGTCTGTCTGTAACTCTTTCGTTTCCAGACGATATCTCGAGGAGTCTAGGATTTTTTTTTTATGACTCATTCTCCTTGAGGGATACTGATTCATTTTCGGGCAACATCTTGAAAGCATTTGTGCTTTAGCTATGAAATTCTATTCAGATTCCCCTAATGACCTTCAAACTTTTTATTTTGAGGTCACACGGTCAAAGGTCAAGGTAAGAAATTCATACATTGCAAAACAATTTCATTTAATAAACTTCTCTTTGAAGTTTCTTTAATGAATTTTAATATCACAACTCTTAATGGCCTAAACAAGACCCCTTATAATTGTTGCAATTCCTATTAATTTTTGTTACAAACTTCAAGGTCAGGAATAGTTTATCCCCCCCCCAATCATTACAGGGATTACAGGGAGCACGTGGTAGGTGTCCAACCGGTCGGCAGGGAATGTTTACTCCTTCATGGCACCTGATCCCACCCCTGCTGTTTTTTTTGGAGGTCCATGCTCCCGATCTGCGTTGTTTAAATGGATTTTGAATACTGTTCGTTATGACCATGTATTTTCTTTTCAACTTCATCCACCTGATCCCACCTCAGATGTTGTGGAGGTCCGTGTTTGCTCTGCTCCTGGTTCGTATTGTTTATGGACTTTTGGGCTTTAATTCTGTTCCTTATCTCAATATTTTTCATCCAATATCTTCTAGAACCTCAACCGAACAAACGATCGATTAACATTGTGGTGTTGTTTCGATCTTAAATTAGGTCTTATACCAATCCATTATATTTCGTTTTTGAATAATGAATGTCTTTCGTTTGTTGAGGTTGTATATATTTTTTTCTGGAGCACCAATTCTTTTCTCTTTTGTCATACAGCTGTTAAAGTTTTAACCCAGTCCTTTTATTACTTTCTCTATAACTGAAGGCCAATATTGAGGCAATTTGGTTATTTACCCTAACCACCACAAAGATAAATCAGACTGAGATCGATCGTTAACTATTAAAAAATAAACATAAGCCATACCTGAGTAGTTGGTTTGGTGCTGTATCAATGTTCGGAGTTCGGCAACGATTAAGGAGTTAGGGTAGTACACCGCGGCAGCCAGCACGGACGTCAACGCCAGCAGCGCCAGTAACGAGGCATTCCCAGGACCTCGGGGTTCCTCGGTCACCAGCTTCTTTTTACCTTTACCGTCTTTTTCAGACGACATTTCCACTCTCAAATCAGCCATGAAAAAAGCCCTACACGCTCTAACCTGCGCAGTGTCATGCAGTTCTCCTGTATTTTTATCGTTTTCTTGGAGATATTACACCCTGTATTGAAACCTAGCGATGGGTGGTGTTTACTTTTAAATCTCTGATATGATTCAGTGAGTAAATTACTAATATCGTAATGTAATCGAAATGCGGATGAAAGGACAAAGATTTCCGAGTTTAATTTAAATGTCATCGCTTTGTTTGAATCAAAAGAAGATTTTTCACAGGACGCTGCGGAGTTTATAGATGTCCATCTTGTATGATAATACCAACTTAAACCGGTAACTGGAAAAACCCGAAACCCCCCGATTTTTGGAGAATACCCATACAGGAGGGGTGAAACCCCAATAAAGTGGTGGAAACCCCATAAAATTGAATGTAATGGGGTACTATAAGGCCTAAGGTGATGTTTAATTGAATGATATTGACATCCGTAAATTTTTATAGCCAATTTTACCTCAGAATCGACGGGTTTCTTCTTTTCTTGATATACTGCACACCACGCCCGATCTAAATTCGCGATCGCTGAAGTCGTTTCGAGTAATCCGTGGAAATAATAACTGTAACCTTGATCAATATGAATATTATATTATGTATGAATATTATTTAAAAAAAAAAATTATTTGTAAGGAAACCCTAAGAATATAAAAGAAGTATGAAATATTTATCATGTTGAAAGACATTACAGTGCAATGTTTAATTGAATTTTTTTTAAAGAGTTTAACTAGTCCATTAATCAAGAAATAAAGTCATTTTTATAAATTCCAATCATTTATAATATGTAATTAAATTAAATTAATTAATGACTGAATCTGTTAATGTAATTATCATAATGAAAGACATTACAGTGAAATTTTTAATTGAATGTTTTTTTGTTTTTTTTTTTTATGAATTTAACTAGTCCATTAATCAAGGAATAAAGTAATTTTTCTCAATTCCAATCATTTATAACATGTAATCAAATTTAATTAACTAATGAATGAATTTGTTAATTTATTTAATTTTTAATTAAGATGTTTGTTTTGAAATGTTTTCTTCTATGTTTAATAATTAATTTTTAAATTCAGTATTCATTCATTATTATTTTCCAGTTACTAATTTTTTGTTTTAATGTTTTTGGTTCTGTTTTTTTTTTTTTGGGGGGGGGGGGGGGGGAGAGTGGTTTTTTTTAGGTTTGTTTGTTTTGCTTTTTATGCAGGTAATAGAAAAAAATATACTCATTGATATGAGAAAGCAACATGTATCCATTACAATGAAATTATTAGAATCCAGGTCTATGAAATAAAAAAGTCTGATAAAAAATAATAAAAATGTGCATGTTGCATATGTGAATCCTTGTACAGTGGGCAATGTAACATTATTGTGAGAATATTATTCACACCTCAGCTAGCTCTGTTGTTTTATACTGGGATAGACAGGCACCCCTGTGTGTGTACATGCACTATATACACAGCTGTTGACACTTGGTCAACTTGATAATAAACATCTTTTGTTTAAACACCTGTGTTCCCAGCTAGTCTGACCAACCCCCCTCTGGAAGGGCATGTGTATATACATTGAACCTTTACTATTCTCAATTGTACAGTTATGCTTTACAGAATTTCATTTTAAAGGACGTTAGCACACACATAAGGAAAATATGAATTTTGATAATTCATGACAAATTAATAAATAAAGACCTTTCAAATTAGTAATACCTGAAAATATTCATAGTTTCCTTATGTTCCCAGCTCTAGCCCACGTGGAGGCCTCCTTAATTGTAGAGCCATGATTTGAATTTTGAAACAGAAAAATATTAAAGCCAAAGGACCGAAAGATGACAAAAAGATAAAAAAATAAAAAAAATTTTATTAAAATGTTTTTTAAAAGACTTAAAGATACTATATCATTATTCCTAGTCAATCTTTTGTTCAAATATAAAAATATTACAGCCAAATGAAAGCAATATACATAAAATAAAATAACATTATAAAAATTTTAGAGAAAGGAATTTATAATTTTATTAGCAACATTTAAAAAACAATTATATTCCTAACCTAACCTAACCTAACAAAACACCAAGCAGTATTCACTGGTCAGCACCTGTCTGGCGGGGGAGGAATACTGCCTGATACCAACCCTACTCTAAGTTCTAACCTTAATAAATAATTGAGCAAAGGATGGCTGATATTTAAAGACATGCATGTCACAAAGATTAAAAGTTTTGTCAACACCTAAAATTGTCTGTCCACTGCAACATAAAGTTTTAATGTCAGTAATTTCGTCTTCTGTGTATAGGATTAAACAGGGTGCTTTCCCCTGATCTCTAATGACTGCATGACTCCCTCAACTATTCCCCATATTACAAGGCACCCTGTACCCATCCAAGGTCCTGCATCAGCTCCGTCAAATCCAGCACCAATCCCGACAGCAGCTTCATCAATTCCTCCACCTGTACCCGTACCAAGTCCTTCAGCAGCTCCCTTAATTATACTCCTACTTTTTCTGAGCTTCCTCTGTAGTAATTCCTACAACTCCTCAGGCACCTGTTCCATCTATTACTTATTCAGAACGAATTGCGGTAATTGGTCAAAATCATGTGTTAGAATTAGAGAATAGTGTAGCAAATGGTTGTGTGAATTTTACGTCCCATAGCAAAAAGAAATGGCATTTTTCCATTTCATCTCCATTCATTCAGCATTTTTTAGCCATTTCAAAACCATTTTTCCTACATTTCTCTATCTTTCAATTTTCATAAACCATTTTCTCAGAACCATTTAAGAACCATTTATGTTAGAAAATGTATTTTAAATGGTAAAGTTCCAACATTTTCTTTCCATTTATTTTTTAGCCTTCTTGCTTGATGACAAAGAAATGGTTAGTCTTAGCCTTTAATATTAAGATAGATTTACTGGATATCAGCATTACAACATGGACTATTCTTCAAGGAATATATAAAAGCTTTATTTATAGTCAAGCATAATTTTTATTAATTTAATTCTAACAGAAAAATGTCGCGGAAGAGCACTTTGAATTTTGTGACAAAACCAACAGTAACAGAAAAATGTTGTTTCTCAAAGAAAACGCAAAAAGGATCGAGTGCCCATTAATCATACTGATGCAATAATCTATAAACCAATCTTGTTAATGAAAATTTGTCAGACTGATGGACTCTTTTGTAAATTCTTATTGATTAACAT